ACAAATTCAGCGAATTCTCCACTTTTGGCCATCAGTTCATCAAATGATCCGAAATCACAAACGGATCCCTCTTTTAAGACAATTATTTTGTCCACTTCTGGCAAAACTGACGCCTTATTTGTCACTAAAACACGTGTTTTGTGGCGAAGAAGTCCTTTCGGACCAATTGTTTGGTCAAATAGATGTCGTCCGACGTGTGGGTCGACAGCACTCAACGGATCGTCCAATAGATATATGTCTGCGTCTGAATAGATAGCCCTCGCGAGTGAAACCCTCTGTTTCTGACCGCCGGACAAATTGATCCCTTTTTCCCCGATTTCTGTCATATCTCTGGCCAAAAGGACCGACAAATCGGGTCTCAAAGCACACGAATCCAGAACTTTTTCATAAAATTCTTCATTTAATTCTCTATTAAACAGAATATTCTGTCGAAGAGTTGTGTTTTGAATCCACGCCTGTTGTGGACAATAAGCTGTCCGTCCGCTCACATTCACAGAGCCTTCACTTTTCTCCATATCTCCCAATAAAGCCGACAATAGGGACGACTTGCCGGCGCCCACACGACCCACAACTGCCACCAATGATTGACACTCGATAGTAATGTTGATATTTTTGAGCACAGAATCGTTGCAATTGTTAACCCATTTAAATGAACCGTTTTTGACAACAATAGGAGTCCTTTGATTGGGTTTGTGGTCAACGAAACTCTCATTCACTTCATTAGCGTTTAAATATTTATTCAGTTTCGTAATGATTATCAAAACCTATTTTAAATAAATAAATCAAGCATTAAATAAAAGTTAAATAAATTTATGTAATATTAACTAGTATTTTTTTGCTAGTCATGTCATGCTCACAAACCTTTTGGCCGGTTAACAATGCACGAGGTAAGATCATAAATTGCTCACCTAGATGCAATATTTATGTTGTTTTATTATAGTGATGTGTATAATACCGAAGTAACTGATGGTTGCTCTCATAAGACGCTCGATCATAAGACTATGCAATTGTTTGGCAGCGGAAACACAGCCCATACTAACGACCAGTTGTGCGCAAACAATGAACAGCATTTGAATTAAGCCAAACACTGCAAACACAGCGAGTCTATGGCTGCGCCACCAGCTCTGGTCAGATCCTTCGCGACCAATCGCGTCGGTAGACCATTGGCTGAGCCACAGACCCGACGCCACTGTCCCCGCATTGCCAACAATATATAGCAATAGTATAGTGACTATCCATCGGTAGCCAATCAATTGACAGTATCCCTTAAATGCATCAATTCTAGCCTCTGGAGCCGTTGGTTCTTCATCTCGGATCAGTTTGCCATCAAATTGTTGCTCATTGTGTCCACCAATCGGTTTATTGATATGATTTCCAGATATCCGACGTCTTCGTTGATGGACACTGTCTGTGGCATCGGATTGATGTGAATCTCGTTTCCCAATCAATGGTTTCACTGTTTGTTTTAGTTTTGCTAAAATTTGTCGCTCTTTCTCATCGATGTCTTCGGATTCCTGTTTAATGACATATTCGGCAACAAATTCTGCGAATTCTCCACTTTTGGCCATCAATTCATCAAATGATCCGAAATCACAAACGGATCCCTCTTTTAAGACAATTATTTTGTCCACTTCAGGCAAAACTGACGCCTTATTTGTCACTAAAACACGTGTTTTGTGGCG